TAAACTTGAATTTTTACTGGATAAGCAAAGCAGATCATGGGATTCTAGCACAAACCCTTTCTCATGAGAATATTTAGAATAACTCTGCCTTTTTTCTAGGCCATCTTTTTTTCTTTCCAGTATCAGGAATCGAACTCACAACCTTGTGCTTGCCAGACAGGCACTGTGCCACTGAGCTAAATCCCCAGCCCCTAGGCCATCTTTGATATCATTTAAATAACTTTGTCTACTCGGTACTTTGGACTGCTTACAACTTTATTAGCTGTAAAAATAAGTTTAAGAATGAAATAACAAAATCATTTATCTGAAAATAAAGTAGTATAGTTCAAATCTGGGGAATTATCCAATAAATCAGGTATATTACAAAATACATAAAAGACTGTATATTTCAGAGCCATGGAATATTTTTATCTGTATTCCTTTTTAAAAAATAGCTGGATTGCTTCAGCCATTTGAAAAGAACTAGGGTTTTCATTAGACCAAACTCATGCATAGATTCCTGTTACGTGGCTATTATAGCCAGCCAGATATATTTGCAACTAGATGCAATGCAGCATTTTAATTAGCCCTTAGCTGTTTGTTCTTTTAATATTATGAATAAGTGTGCTTTAGAAAAAGCCCACTGGCTATAATACTTATTTTTGTACCAGGAATTGAACTCACAACCTCATGCTTGCCGGGCAGGTGCTGTACCACTGAGCTATATCCCCAGCTGGCTGCAATACTAAAATTCACCTAGACTTAGTAATATGTTATTGTAAGAGAATACTTAGAACAATTAGCCAAGGGCATAATAATGTGCATAAGTGCAATGCAAGTTATAGTTCTTTAGAAAAAGTGTATCTACAAAATACTAATATATAACTTGTTGATGGATAGAAATATTTTCATATAATTTGCTTCCTCTATAATGTTACACTTCACATGCACTTTACTTGTTGCCTAAATGTGGTCTCAGATTATAGCTAATAATGAAAATTCTAGCTGGGCGTGGGGACGCACCCCTGTAATCCCAGCACTTGGGAGGCTGAGGCAGGGTATCGTTGTGAGTTCGAGGCCAGTCTGGGCTACAAAGTGAGCTCAAGGCTACCTGAACTGCATAGCGACACCCTGTCTCAAAAAGACAAAAAAAAAAAGAAAATTCTTCAGAACAAAGCAGCAGTCAAAAACAGAGAAGAATCACCATAGCTACATAGACAGCCAAGTACCAGACTGAGTGTAGAAGATGCTCAGCGGAATGAGCTGAAGGGTTTCCACCAACTGACTGGTTGTGTGCAAAACTCAACCTATTTCCTTCTCATTAGAAAAGGTCTTCAGTTAGGCCTAGAAAAAGTCAAAACATTTTGTTTTGCCATATAGACAAATGTGTACTGCTTCTTTTTACTAGAAACAGCCATTAATGACAATAACCACTACCTGTTACTGTTTTCCTTTTAGCGGAAGTACAAAGTGAAATTGAAAGAATCTTTGAGTTGGCAAGATCTTTGCAACTGGTTGTTCTGGATGCCGACACCATCAATCACCCAGCACAGCTTATAAAGACCTCCTTAGCACCAATTATTGTTCATGTCAAAGTCTCGTCCCCAAAGGTAATTAATTAACTTCTTCCTTAAGGATTAGAAATGCATTTCTTTGGAAATATTCATTGTTCTGTTCTTCTTTGTTAGTAAGAAAGTCTTACTGAGATTCTGTCAATAAGTATGTTTTAAAACAGTGTGGGTTCTAGGAAGCTTTGAGACAGCAAATGAAGAACAGTGTGTCCCTTCAGGAAACTCACTGTTGTGATCCCAAACCAGATAGTTACGAAGTATATAACAGAAACAAAAGAAATTAACAAAGGTGAGGAAAAGTAGCTCTGACTTTTCATAGACCACAGGTTTTATCTTGCTAAATTTCTTAGATAATACTGATTCTTAATAAGCTATATTCTCTTCCCACTTGGGAGAAAACATAGCTCAAAAAAAGTGTCTATGTTTATCACACATTATGTGAAATATCATTATGTAAATGTCCCATGGAAGTGTTATAGACCTTGACATTTGTGCATAGGTTGGGTGCTTTGAGGAGTATAGTTCTGCTGTGATTGAGCACAATTTATGATGGCTCAATATACAACGTACAACTAAGGGAGAGAAAAATAACAGTAAGACCACCCCAGATTTGTCTCTTGATTTGAATGTTCTTTTATTCTTAAAAAGTGATGTTCTTAAATGTTAAAGTGAAATGAATCAGACATACAAGCTTAAATATCACATGCTTTCTCTTACATGAGAAACCTGGAATAAAAATAAAGAGCAAAATAAAAGATAGGTAATACGCTGGGAGATAGACCCTTCTCAGGGGACCAAGAGGTGGAGGGAGATGGGGAGGGAAGGGACAGGGGATGAGAAAAAGGAACGTGTTCTATACAGGTGCAGTTCCACACAAGGATAGTAAACATCATGTACCACCAGCATGCGCCCCACAGAACACGGGAGGGGATCAAGACCTGGGGGAGGGGATAGGGAAAAAGGGTAAGGGGGTGAAAAAAAGGAATTGTGATGTGTTATTTACATATACCAGCTTCCCACAAGGCATGTAAACGTGCACTACACACATGTACCTAATAAACTAAAAAAGAAAAAAGAAGTTAATGTGAAACAGATACCCCTGTGAGCTATTATCTTAATAAGAGTTTCCTTTCGTGCCTTGTAGAATGTATTTTATTTGCCTAAATTCAAACTCTCAGCCAGAGCTGTGGTCCCCTTTCGAGGGTGGGGAAAGTCTGAAGAGGCTGTGCCTTCTCCACGTCTTCTGAGCTCTTCAGCCTGCCTTCTCTTCAGGCACTGCTATGTGCAGTAAACTTGGGAACCTTGATGACCTGGGGAGTCAGTAGCATGCCTTGGCCAGCCCAGCTTCTCCCTGACCCCGAGCTTCTGGTGACTGAAGCTCCCTCTGCCACAGTGGAGGAGAGGTCGGCCCTCCCACTGCACCAGTCACCGCACCACCCTGAAGTGCGGGACCAGGGGCCCTCACTGACCTGTGAGCTAAGGTTTCATGGAGCTTGTAGACTGTCGGCTAACAAAACATGAAATAAAAAGAGAAGATATGGCCAAATACACTTGCAGCAGTGACCAAAAGACAGATGTATTGGTTTGTGTGTAAGAATGTACCAGTGCAGGTGTTTTACCTAGATTTCCAGGTATGTTTTAAACATACTTGAAACAACCTGATTAATGTAAAATTAAACTGAAATGATTCATTAATTGTAGTTGACAAAAATAACTTAGTATATAAATGACTGACATTTATCTAACATGGAGTTGGTGAGCCAAAATATTACTCAACTGAATAATATTAAAATATTACTCAATGAAAGTGGCCGGGTACAAACCAGTTTCTCCACTTTGGTAAGGCTCTCTCTGAAATGTCAAAGAGATTTCAAAATCTAAAGTGGGAACTCAGAGCCCTACCGACACCTGGGGTGGACCCAGAATAGGACGAACATAGCAAGTCCACTACACTGAAAGCCAGTGTAAGTGGACGGCGCCGTGCCAGAGCTTGTACAGTATTTGGTTGCTCACACTGTATTCCGCTTTACTAACCCTCAGGACTGAGCAGACTATTAACAAGTTCCTGATTTATTTGCTTTTTTCAACTCACTGACAAGACCTCAGGTTCATGTCTTCTTCTCTCAGGTTTTACAGCGGTTGATTAAATCTAGAGGAAAGTCCCAAAGTAAACACTTGAATGTTCAATTGGTGGCAGCTGATAAACTTGCACAATGCCCTCCTGTAAGTATAACCATTTTTGTCTTAATCATCCTCACCTAGTTAGAGGTGGGCTGTGTTCTCCCTTCGTATGAGCAGTGTCGTTTTTATTCTGGAATGATGGTGATGATGGTGTGCTGTTACAAATCGGAAGGATTTCTTGGAATAAGTTGGCGCTGTCACGGAGTTCGTGCTCGGGCCTCCAGGACAGGATGGCGGCTGCCTTGCAATGAGAAGTGGGTGCAGAGGCTGGTACCTGCTCTCCGTCCTGCGGCTTCCATTGCCTTGCGATCGCTCAGGGACGCACTTAGCATTCAGCGTCCAGTTACGTAGACACCTTTAAAAATGAGAAGAACAAAATAAAGCAGGCCAGTCTGACTTTCCTTTAACTTTTCTGTCAGAAGGTTCTGGCAGGCATAAGAGATTATGATATCAAAGGTCAAGAATTGATTGAAACTAGAGGAACCTTGTGGTTATAGCAGATGAAAGGGTTAGGGCTGAGTGGATGAAAAATTGTATTGTAGCAACTTTTCTCCTCGAGCTGTTGCCAGGAAACAGCTGCTGCACTGGAAGGCAGGCAGTGGTGGGATGGGTGTTGGGGAGAGACTGCTGTCCTAGGGCACCAGGGGCCCACGACCACCTCTGGTTCTTTGACTTACTACCGCTGCGTATATGTATCCTAAGGAAGTGTGTAACTATCTTTTCTACTCAGTTGATTCTCTAGATTTTCATATGCTTGTATGAGGATCATTTATGTCCTATAGGAGCGTAAAATCCAATTCAGATGTTTAGAGAGGCAAATAGCATGGCCGTTAAAAGCATAGAATCCAGAGCAGATACCCAGGTTCAGATCCACACTGGCTACTTGTGTTATGGGTCCCGTCTCTGCTGCATAGCTTGGTGTAAAAATTCGCGAGTGAATTTGTAACGAAGCTCCTAACAGTGCCAGCACACCGTGCACACACTAAAGTTCTGGTCTGTTGTCATTGCTGGGTGCACTTTGCACCAGGCCACGTTGGGTCGGTTGGAGTCTGGTAGGACCTAGTTCACTCTTGTGTCTCACTTTCCTGTCTCAGTGGGCCCATAATAAATATTTGTTGAATGAGTAAATGAATGAAAGGGTATACAGGCAAGAATAATAATAATGCATTCTTTTATTAGATATTTATGGTAGGCCAGATGGTATACTAGATACTTTAATGGATATATATAATCCTCACAGTTACTAATGAAATAGTCAGTGTAATGCCCATTTTATAGCTGAGGTAACTGCACACAGAAATGTTAAATAATTTCCCCGAGGTCATATAGCAAATTAGGGTTAGATCTAGATCTGTCTGTCTCAAAAACCGGTTCCTTCCCCTTCCAACTGTACCCACCACACACACACACACACACACACACACACACATACACATATATACACATACACATACACATACATGCATACACATAGGTATCTACACACATACACATAAACACATGTACACACATATACACACACATGCGTACACACGTACATACACACATATGCCTACACATACACACATATACCTACACACACACACACACACACATACACACACACACACACCTCTAGTCACCCACCCTGCAGATAATTTGGATACCGTAGAGCCTGGAGTTTTATGTTAACAACTTTAATATCACATTGCCTGCTAATGAAGGGTGCTTAAATAGTAGAAGTTTTGGTTGAAGCACTGAATGAATATAAAACTATATATTTCCCAGCCTCTGATCCTGTGATGCTTCACAGTTAAAGGAAGATAATCTTTATCATCCAGCTACAGAAAGCCAGGAACTGCGCCGTTACATCCAATTTTTAGACCAATCTTATATCAGCTTCATGTTCTGGGAAACAGACATCTAAATGGAAGTGAAGTACAGAAGTTTAGTGGAAAAATGCCTTTTCTTCTTATGAAAAGAGTCCATTAACATTTAGTCTAAGAATTAGTAGAGGAAGTACTGTGTCACACTAAAACTGAGTTACTTTAGCTGCTAAGTGGGCCGATCATTGAGTAGTTGTACGTTTAATATGACTTGTTACATCTGAAATAGCTGGAACTAAGAAAAACACATGTGGATACTTAGATATGAGCAATCCTGTGAGTTACTTTGTGACTTGCCCCCAGGTTAGGAATCTCACACAGGCACATACCCTTGGAAGGCAGCCTCGCCCTGTCATTATCCTAACAGGATAAACATGTCTTTGTTTCATGTACCTGGTCAGATAACCTGGCATTTTAAACAAGCAGTGTGAATAAGTAAGGTTATTTTGCACTTAACATTTTCTAAGATTTGATGTCGCGTGAGTGGCATTTGTAAGGCTGAGAAGGAGCTGTGCACTCTTATCTTGGCACGTATGAGGAAATCTTAAGATTGTGAAAGCCAGTAGCAATTTAAAAACGTGTCCGCATTTGTTGCTTTACTTCAAGACTATAATTATAATTGTCATGCAGAGACTGGTGATCACTGTGTCATTTTAGTTCCTTGAGGACAATCCACCGCTTGCTTAATTGGCTGCCGCATCTCCAGTCTGAGAAGTCAGCATTTTTCACTGGTGGAATCTCATATTGCAAAAGGATTAAAGCAGAAATTTTTTGGAAAGGGAAGTCTAAACGAGCGCCGGAGAAAGGTTAACTCTCTGTGGGCGAGAGAACGAGTCCTAGACTCACGGACCATGGAGCACCAAGGGACCGGGAGGAGTGCTCAGCACGGCGCTCCTGGCGCGCTTCTCCGCGGTGTGGTTCAGTGTGAGGACCACACGGGGGTGGGGGGAGCCCTAGAACCAGCCCGTGTGAGAAAACGTGTGTGAGCAAGTGTGTCCTAGTTTCTTGCTGCACAAGCCCGACTGTGTTGGCGTGCTGTACGTTTCCAGCAGGACAGACCTGCAGCGTGGCCAGAGATTGTTTTCCTATGGGTCTTGGGTTTCATGGAACACTTGGAGGGAGAGACTGATCCAGTCCAATCTCCTCGTTTTACAAACAAGGAGCTGAGACCAAGACAGTCGAACTGGCCTTCTAAAGGTTGTGTACCTTGGCCAGACTCACCCGCAGACCCCTGTCTCCTGGGCTCCTGAGACTAGGTGGTGAACAGCAGTAGGTTGGTTACTGCATGTTCCCTTGGAGAGGGAATCACAAGTTCCAGGGGTAAGGCTTGGGGAGGGGAGCGTCTGAGAGAGAGAGTAGTATAGGGCCAGAGAGTAAGTATTGTAGGTTTTGTGTGCCGTAGTGTCTTCTTTGCAAAACTACTCAACTCTGCTTTTGAGTAGACCTTGACAATGTGCAAATAAATGGTGACTTTTCCAGTCAAGCTCTGTCAGAGAAGGAAGCCGGCCTGATTTCGCTAGCTGAAAGAAGTTGCCACTCCTATTCGAGGGTGAGTTATGGTTATCTATTGCTGTGCAGCAAATTACTCTACGCCGTAGTGACTTCATACAGGGGTCACATGGTAATATTCGGCCGGCAGCTGACCTGGGGCCTCGGGACGGACGGCTGCTCGGCTGGAGCCAGCTTCGCTTTCTGTCTAGTTGCCCAGGCTCTTTCCAAGGGGGCGTCTCCCTCAGGGCTTCTCACAGCGCAGCTCCCAGGGCTTCAGGAACAAGGGTTCCGACCTCTCAAGACCTGGTCTTAGACACCAACACAGCATCATTTCCACGCTATTCTGTTCACCAGGGTAGCTACAGAGGCTCCCCAAGTTCAACGAGAGACGGTGTCAGCCTCCATCTCAGTGCGGGGCTGTCAGAGAATGTGCGGCCACTTCCACTCTGCTGCAGAAAGACGAGCTGGGAGCAAGGCGGCGTGGGACAGAGACGCAAAAGCCTCTGGGACTAGAACCCGCAAGCCCATCGCATACACTTTTTTGTATGACCAGGATAAGTTGGTTTTACCAGTATACATTTATATACCTCATATTGAAATTGCGTTTGGCTTCTCCCATGTATTGGTGCCCCTTTTTAGAGAATTTGAGAAGTACATTTTAAGAAGGCCAAGTTCAAATTGCCCCAGTACTGTGGTAATGAGAGCTGTGTAATTCACGGTGGGAAGAGCAGATAGCCCGACAATTGAATATACAAGCGAAATGTAATCCTTTAATCCTGCTTCGTTACAAGCTGGCTCGTGTTACCACAAACTGACCCTGTGGCTCTTGGAGCTGTGTAACGGCTCTGTGTGTGCGTGTCAAACGACATTGACTGCTCTCTCTGCAAGAAGGGAGCTCATCTCAGCCGTCTCCAAGCCTCTGACATTACACAGCCCGGTTCTCTTCTGCCCTGCCTCATTTCCCAGTGCTGAATAGACTCAGATTTGTTCTCTTAAGCACAAGAGCTCGGAGGGGAATGAAGGCATGAGCGTGCCCAGTATCTCTGCTCATAGTCCTTTCAGGTAGTAACTTTCCACTGCCCCTGCCCGGCCATTTCACTTAAATTACTGAAAACCGTGGGCGCGCTCGTTGTTGGAAGCGCTGCTCCTGTTGGTGCATTCGCTGTTACAGGTCCCTGAGTACCCGTCCTTTAGTCCCGAGCTCTGCCTGTCTTCTTTAGCTTTGTTTTAATGCAGTACGTGCGGATATTAATCAAGAAAATATAAAGAGCACTCTGTGTGAAAAGGTAACAAAATCGAGAATAACAATAGTACACTCTGTACCGTAATCTTAAAACAATGGCCAAAATGTTACTCAGAGTACCAGTCATAGACAAAAAAGACTATTTAAAAAAAAGATAATAGCATAAACCTTTCTTTTCTTAGACTAGTAACAGAAAGGAAGCAAGGTTGAAAAGAAGCATAATAGATTTCATGTGCAGTATTTCCTTCAGGAAACAACCTCATGTGGGATCCAGCTTTTGTCAGTCAAAGAGAACTACACCTTTTCCAGGGATTTCATGCACTTAGCTTGTTTCAGAGTTCAGGGCAGTTCATTTCCACCAGTGCTATGATGTAACCAGTTGGGTTAATACGAATTTAACAGAAACACTGGGTGCATTTTCCACAGATAGTAACACCGGTAGGTGTTGTTACAGTCTTTAAAGGATAAGAATGGACAGGGCAGAGGACATCGGGGAGAAAAACTTGTCAGGTTCATAATGAATGTCACAAGTAAGAGAACTGGAATCAAAATTACTATAGCCAGGCCTGGTGATGCACATCTATACTCCCAGCACTTTGGAGGCTGAGGCAGGAGGATCATGGCAGGTTTGAGGACATCCTGGGCTACATAAGTGAGTTCAAGATCAGCCTGAACTACAAAGAGAGACCCTGTCTCAAAAAGCGAAAAAAAAAGTCACTGTATTCTTTGCCTTAGTGTTATTGCCACCAATTAGTGTTAAAACTCTGATTGTCTTTCATGTTTAGCACATTAAAATGGAAAGCCCCTGATGTCCTGCGGTACTGGGCAGCTTTGCTTTAACCCCCAAGACCTCCTACATCTTTTTAAAAATCAAAAGCTTTAATAACATAAAGAATGCAGTTTTGACATGAAGGAAACATTGGTTGGCTATTTATCATCAGCATTGCTGGTTGTGGCATTGTACTACTTTATTTTGCTGAGGGGTAAAATTTGCTCAGGATTTTCACATTTTAGCACTGCAAGTCCCCAGAAACAGGCAATCCCTACCAAACCAGAATGGCTGGCCATCCTAACTCAAGTGGCTTCCCTAGAGAAGACTGTCACATCTTACTCCATGCATAGAAAACAGGGCAGATAGTTGAATACTTACAATTTCTTTTTAAAATTTTTCATAAATTTTCATTTTCTTAGCAGCAGCTTCAGTCTTTCTTTCCTTTCTCTGCCACTATTGTAGATCTGTGGACCACGGGATGAGCTATAGGCATATTTTCACTCTTGGTTGTTTACATATAATGTTTCAGTTTTTAATTTTCCTGAAAGAGCTAAGCCCTGAAAGGGGGCCTACTGTGCCTGAATTGTTGATGGTTCCTTTTGACTTCTCTGCCACTTCTTATTTAGGGTGACAGGCCTACCACTTGGGCTTTTTCAGCTGAATATCCGTCCTAGAATGTCAGAGGTGTTCACTGTGGCCGCGCTTTAAAAACAGCCCCATGAAGGGCGTGGTGTCTGTGTTGGTTTGGGGCTTATTGTGCAAGGGGAGCAATATAATACAGGACACATATTTTATATGATTATTTATAACAGTCACCCAAAGAACGATATACAAGAGAGTGCAGGAAATCTGCCACACACCAAGACCAAGGAAACTAGCTGAGGGCCTGGATCCCACAGAAATGTCCTGCATGAGTCCAGCTGAAGGCCTAGAGCTCATAACAGTGCCTCCCACAAGTCCAGCTGGAGGCCCAGAGCCCACGACAACGTCTCATGCAGGCCTGTTTCAGGGATCTGCACTGCAAAGGCACAAAGGTCAGTAGTGGAATCTAGGAAGTCTGAAGGATGAAGGATCTGTGCCAGCAGGCTGAGGGATGTGCCCTGGAGCCAAAAAGCGACACTCAGAAGAACCAGAGCTCCCCTGAATGGCACCACAGCCATCCTCAGCAACAGTGAGGTCCCAAGCTCCTCTGATGATCAGGATGGCCGAGTTTCCATCAGGGAAGCCAATGCAGCAGTCTTTTCCAGGAAGCCGGCAGTGCATCATCTTCCCCTCCGGAGCCAGGAGGCCGTGCTCAAAGTGAGGACCAGAGCTCCCTCACAGTGAACCAAAGCCATTCTCAGTGCCAAAGGGTCCCGAGCTCCTCACAGGATGCAAACAGCCAAGTTCATCAGGAAAGCCAGCATGACAAACTCCTCCAAAAAACCAACAGCTCCTTACAGCTTCCACCAGCTCCAACAGCCTTTCTCCACCCCCAACAGCCTCTTTAGTTCCCAGAAGCCTATCTTCTTCTTCTCCAGTTCTGCCTCTTATGCTGCTGGCAGCAGTCCCCAGGTGGGCCTCCCACACCCAGCACCGTGCTTACTTAGTCCAGCTGGGGGTTATAAGTTGACCACCAGTTGTCAATCTACCACATATCACTGTTCACCACCTGAGACTTTTGTGAATAAATGCCTCTCTGCATCTCTGTCTCAGGTTGTAGGCCCCGTAGTTTACATAGTAAGAAACTGATTAGACATGAGCCTTTAAACTATACAAAATTAGCAAGGCTAGTTTGATAATTCATTGGGTTGTTTTGCTTTGAATTTGCTGTATGATTTTTAAAATTCCCCTCAGCCTGACTTTCTAGCATTCTTGGTGTATTCAGCTGTGTTATTCCCTAAACAGTTAGAAAAATTGTCACAGATATGCAGGCTCTGAAATTCTTCCTAGTTGAAAATAAGGTATATATGTCAGTGTTCATTCAGAAGCTGAAATTTGCTTTCTCTGTGCTTTTGAAAGCCTAAGAACAGTTTCAAATCATCTCCCATCCTATAGCTGTACTTGAGCAGTGCAAAAGCGTAGTTTACAAGTAATGATCAGGCTTAAACAAACAGCCTTGTGCTGATGTATACAAATTCTATGCATTGGCAAAGAGAGGCACTTTATTAAAATTCCTTGCAATTAAATGTGTTTAATTGCGTCTACAGTGGTGACAATGTACAGAATAGCCAAGTAGATAGAAACCTCAAACAGTATTCTTCAGAGGGTGCTGCCTCCCTGGCTGTGCCTTCTTTGGGCTCCGCATTTCTGGCTGTCATTGTCCGGAATCTTTCGGTCCATGGATTTTTGAAGGTTCTTTAACTTGGGGCTTTAGAAAAGCAAGAAAATAACTCATTGGAACTAACCAAACTCGCAGCATAGAATGAGACCTGTGTAATCCACTTTGACAGTGATCATAAATAAGTGGTACAGACGGCGGCTCTAAATCACGTGAGGTCTGGACTTTGTGTGAAGGGCTGCACGTGCAGTAGCTGAGCGGGGTCCTTTGTTTAGTGCTGCCATTCCCTCTGTTTTCCTTCCCATTTTGTCTCCGTCTGTGGAAGCTTTGGGGATGTAGCTGTCCTTGTCGTACTCCAGTCAGCACTGTGATGCCACTGCTTGCATCAGGGCATTCTGGAAATTCCTTGCACTGTCTTTGTGACTGCTGGAAGTTTATGTTAGGAGAGGACCCTTTTGACGGTGAGTGACAGGGAACTCTTGGGTTTCTTCAGTGGGAAAAAGGACTTACGGTAAGGACGTGTGTTGACCAGAGCTCTTCTTTCTCTCATGGCTGTGTGGTTTCGCTCGTCCATCGTGGCCCTGCTTCTCTTGTTTTCTTTCCTCTACAGATGGAATTCTTTGCCTCAATCATAATCTCCCTTTCTTTATGAGTTCACTGTGAGTTCCAGCCTCTCTGGGCCTCCTTCTGAATCTAGAACTTTAAGCAACAGCAGAGCTGGATGGCAGCTGCAAACATTAGCTGGCTTGGTCTGTCTGGTGTGACGTGGATTATCATGGATTTTAGTACTTTTCTCTCGTACCAAACCACTTGCTCCGCAGGCGTAGGATGAGGTTCGGTTTTTTTGCCACTGTGTGACCACCCACATTGCCCTGCACAAATAGATACTGAGTAAATATTTTATGAATGAATAAAATATTCAATAATACCAGATTTTTTACTAATAAATCCTTGGGAGAGAATAGCATTTTTCTACATAAGTTGAATTGGCTGAATTTTTTTCAAACATGAGTCAGTTTGGACTAAAGTCACTTACTATTTTCCTACTCATGTTCCAAGGACCTTCAAACTGCTTTACAGGTTAGGGTCAAAACTATCAGTAAAGATTGATGCAATGAAACATTCAAAGGGTAAGACTGAGAGTGTAGCTCCAAGGCAGAGCGTGCTTGAGTTCTTAGGTCCGATCTCCAGCACCAGAATTAGATGAATAGTAAATGTTGGGGAAGAGTTTCCATGGTGACTTCTCCTTCTGAGCACTGATGAGAGTGAGTCGGCTTAGGTACCACCAACTCCGTGTCTTCCTGTTGCCATGTAATCTTTAGTCCAGCAAGGGCATTGCTGGTAACAGTAACCATGGATTTGACTCATTACTGAGGATTTGTAGTCTGGTAAGATGAGCTCATGAAAGCAGGTGGGCAGTGGGAGAGGGAAGGCGTTTGAGTCCAGCCACTGAAAGATTCATAACCATCCCCCGTTTTAATGAGCGTGCTAACACTGGACCTGTGGAAGAGCTTTTCTGTCTTGAGATGCCAGAGTTTTCTCACTGGAAATGCCACAATCTCTCACTGAGATTCCACAGTTTTGTCACTCATTTGCCCAGGAATCTTGGGCATGTCCTGTCTGTGTTCGCAGTGCCACTGCTGTGACCGAAGGGCCACCGTGCTCCTTTTGGGCTCCAGAACAACTTCCTGATTACAGGGCAGGTGCTGAGCAAAGTCCTTGCTGACTGAAACGTGTCCAAATACTCCTTCCTCAACTAGACACGCCCAGGCTTTTTTAATCATCTCACAAACAGTCTTCCGGTAGCAGCAGTCACTGTAATATGGCTTTCTAGTGTGGATCTTAAATTGTCTTTCCTTCGTGTTTCATCATGAGTTTGATAATGTCATTTTCACAAATATTCTGAGAGTTACCTAAGTAAATGTTATTCCCTTCAACATAACAATGCTTATTCCAGTGATAGCGTTGTTGCCCCAAACCTTGTCACCTTAACTTTCTGCTCTCATTGTCCCAAATGAGTAGAATTCAACTCTTTAGTGATATCTGGACAAAAATGTGAGTACGTACGTTTTCACTATAACACTTTCACATTTACTTCTTTTTCTTTCTAAATAATGAAAGCTCCAAGTATTTAAGCATGAATTCTTATGTAAATATCCACATTTGCGCATGAATAGCTATAACTCTTCACTGGACTTAGAATCTAACCAGTTAGCCTCTCAGATTTGATTTTGTTTTTTTTTTGGTATCAGGAATCAAACTCAGAACCTTGTGCTTGCCAGGCGGACACTGCCCTGCTGAGCCATATCCCTGGCCTCAAATTTGTTATTACGTGGTACATAGATAGGAGAAACGCTGTTGTCTGCCTTTCGTGACATTTTAAGTTTCATCACCTGAAACTGAAACTGCGAACGTAATGGATTTCCTTGTCGTCTGCAGGAAATGTTTGATGTTATATTAGACGAAAATCAGCTGGAGGACGCGTGTGAACATCTGGGAGAGTACCTCGAGGCGTACTGGCGTGCCACGCACACCACCAGCAGCACCCCCATGACCCCACTCCTGGGGCGGAATTTGGGCTCCACTGCACTCTCACCGTACCCCACTGCAATTTCTGGGTTACAGGTATTGCCACCTTTTCACTCATGATTTTACAGTCTTACTCTGAAGATTTTATAAAATCTTGATTAACTTCATTTGTCCTTAGTCTGAAGAGGGGGCACATTACGTTTATTAAAAATGTAAATGATTACCTCATAATTTGCCCTAGAGAAAGCCACACAGAGACTGAGCCCTTCTGGAAAATTTTGCTGTCTTATGAATTTATAGTGGATCTTACTTAGATAAACTAAACCTGGTAGACTTAATGCCTACTCAGTACAACTGTCCATGACTTCTGCATGACACGCCTTAAGATTATATAATCATGTAGCTATCAGGCACCATAGCCAGCTAAGTAAGTTTCTGGGCCTGCAACCTCCTTTCCACAAGCCAGGATGCGAACATGAGTAGAACATCCCTGTTTGGAAGCAGTGACAGATCCCTGAGTTTTCCAGGGCAGGGGTGTCCGGGGACCCTCCTTGGTCCATGGGTTGGTGAGTGTCTTTAGGCAAGCTGGAAGCAGCCCAGGGTCAGGTGCTGCCCTCCTCTGCGGCTCTGGTGCTGCACTGAGACATAGCTACAGGGAGCCAGAGGCAGGAAGACACCAAATACCCCTTGCCTTTCTGCACGAATTATTATTTACCACTTAGCAAGCAGCCGCTGGGATGTGGCCGGACCCCCAGCTGACTGAGGAACATGCGCTCAGCTGAGCACTGTTGTGTCCCTACTAGCTTTGTTTTAATGGGTTGTAATGACAGGCATAACTGTGGATCATGTGGAGCTAGCTCTGAGATAAGTGGCACTCTCTGAAATGCTATTAGAACTGTATTACTGTGCTGTGAAATTGCATCTTTGTAAGCAGAAAGACTTACAAAAAGGATGATTTGCTTTTGAGGCTGAAAATGAACATAGGAAATGTATGAGTGCAGAGTATTAACTCTATATCTGTATCTGTATCTATCACACCAAGACATTTTCTTGCCTTGTTTCCCTTCCTGTGTGCTGATCTGAATAAAGCATTTCTGGTGACCAGTTTGGGTTTTCTCTGAATTGCGCATGGTAGGGTAAGGAGTACATGCACGAAGCAGTAAGTTTCTGGGACGCAGGAGGAGATGCGATGGGCCTCACTTACGAGTGCAACACTCTTGACTCGTCAGCCCTGAGACATCCACCTAGTTGTCCCAGTTTTAAGGAGTTAATGTGGTGCCCTTGCCCTGTGACCTACCTCTCCCAGTAACCAAAGGCACTTAACTGTTAGACTCCGGGCTGAGGCTAATGGCAGACTGTGATCCACTGAATGAGTTTTCCTCCTGTGCAAAGCGGAGGGTACTGCAGATGTGTCTGGGCCCGGGATTTCATCGGCACCCTGTTCGTTAGCCCAGATGCCCTGCCTAAGCTGGTAGACAGGTGCAGGTGCGTTCGCCATAGTGAGAGAAATGTTGGAAAACCCTTTCTGAGTCATCAAGTGTCTTAAGCTATCAACTTCAGTTAATGTTAGGCAAATTTGGTTTATTTCTGAAGATTATTTTTGCAGGGCATTTTCAACTGAAACAGCAAGGTTTGTAAAGGCATCAGTTAGCTAGCTGATGATCTACGACTTTCTCCTTTGGAAAGAATGTTTCTGAGAGACTTTTATGTAGGGTACAGCAACAACTGCATTATTTTAAGGGTAGCACAGTAATTTAATTAAAATACGATTTTAATTAATATATAAGTATAAGGAACATTCAGCTAGATCAGGGTGAAGTGTGCGACTTTAGGAGGAGAAAGATTTTATCAGTTTAAGAGAGGAATAAAATAATAGATGCTACTTTGAACCTTGTTCCCAATAGTAAAATAATACTCATTTTTGCAATAGAAATAGAATTATTTGTTCTTCTTAAATATATTAAGTTCCATTTAAGAGTCAACTTTCAAGTGCATATTTTTAATAGGAAACATAGTCATGCAGCGCTATATAATTAAATTCATAAACTAGAAACAGTGTTGGATCTTTGCGTGTTGAATACCAAATAACTAAGACCAGAGATAATGTGAGGAGACCGTTTGTGCATCAAAATACGTTCCTAAGGCCTGTACTCAGCATCGCATTGTACAGACCCTATTACTGTACATACGTTTACATGTCAGATGAATGAAGCTGACGTGATTTAATCAATGAACTATCTGATATTTTTAGAGTCAGCGAATGAGGCACAGCAACCACTCCACAGAGAACTCTCCAATTGAAAGACGAAGTCTAATGACCTCTGATGAAAATTATCACAATGAGAGGGCTCGGAAGAGTAGGAACCGCCTGTCTTCCAGTTCCCAGCATAGCCGAGACCATTACCCTCTTGTGGAAGAAGATTATCCTGACTCCTACCAGGACGCTTACAAACCCCATAGGAACCGAGGCTCACCTGGGGGATACAGCCATGACTCCCGACACAGGCTCTGAGGCTGCCAACACAAAAAATAAAAAGTACTCATCTGTTGACTTTTGCCATAGCCCTGCTAAGATAAACCAATCATTTTAACTCGTCAAGCACAGGACGGTGCTGACTGTGCTCATGAGCTGCTGTCATTTGATGCTAAGTAAGGGGCAAAAAAATGTACATTATGCCCTTGAATCTAGATGGATATTCGATGCCCAATCATATAGGTATTTTTAAGTGCAACATTTACATGATAGCAGTACCTTTTGTTTTCTTCATAGATTTAGACACATCCATTTGTAGTCTAGGGTACCTATCAAGGCACATATGAAATAATTTCCCGTGCTGGAAATTCCAAATGACCAGTTCCAGTTGGAACCAATTTATAAACCAATTCCTGTTGGAATTCGGGTGAATTGACTAGAAAGTCTACTTGAGCACGTTGCAATCAATTGAAAAATTGGGAAAAAACCTAATTAATAAGGAAGTCAAAATACAAATAGAAGCCAAAACCAGCTATGGTATTTATTTGCTGGAAGCTAAATTTACACTTAAAGTTGGATATGTAAACATTTTAATATATGTTAATGTTGCCAGAATGGCTTTTCAAACTTACCAAATATATTGATAGTGCCAAAAAAAAATCTCAGAAATCTTAATGCAGAAATTATATAGTCTCTTCAGATTTTAATATTTTTATTTGTTTCCTGGCACAGCTGTTGTATTCAAAGTGTTTTGCTTTCTGTTCAGTCAATACTGTTAGTGTGTTTGAAGTTGGCAAAGAAGAAAAGCAGAAAAAAAACTTCAAAAATTTCAGTTGTAAAAGAGAATAAAATGAGAAGGCCGAGAATAGCTGGTTATAAGAAATGGAAAATGAGGCGTTTCCTCTTTAACCAACATGAGCACAACTGCACATATCCAGAAGGTGAAGCCAGATAGCAAGGATGTTGTATAGATCCCAGGTGCGGAGCTAAACCTCTCCGAAAGGGAGTTTATCTGCCTGCCCAGCGAGGTCAGTATTTCCTGCCAGCACAACCGAGACCCTTCCCATTGCTTCGCTCAGGCTGTCTTTGAATAGCTGAGTATTCTAGCCCATCACTAAATCTTTTGAAAATCACGCTAAAGATTTTTGTTTTCCATGGATGCATTCAAGTTAGATGTTGAAAGTTATGTTTTTTACAAAATGGCTTGTTGGGAGAAGTTCTAATAGATGATGAATTTAAAAGCTTGCAGTAAAAGTAAAGGTCATAGATTCAGAATACATGTGTTCGCTAAAATTACAGCATTCTTAATGAAAAAGTATGAAGATTTTAGAGATTGAGCTGACATCTCTAATAAATACTGCTCATGGCTTACCAAGAGTTCAGTTTTTCCAGTGACTATAATTAAAAATTGGCGGCCTGTGTCTTACATTATCACGGACGCCTTAGATTCACTATGATCCAAGAAATTATTGAAATAGATTCTTTTATATAATACAACATGTATTTATGAAAGATTCTTGTTTCTAAAATTCCACAATGCATGTGTTTTCTAAAGCCGTAATAGGACCAGGCATAAAAGTCTTTTTCTATATCTCATGAGGCCTGTTTTGGAAAACAAGAATAATTCATTTTGACGCTGGGGTATAGCTCAGTGGTAGAGTGCTTGCTTAGCATGTTTGTAGGCCCTGGGTTCCATCCCCAGTACCTCAAAAACCTTGAATAATTAATTTTGTATTATCTTATTTTCCCCCCAAGTTTTTCAGTACGCACTCTCTTGAAGTATGCACCAGATCCAGTATTTTCTTGATCAAGAACGTCAGTTTCATATTACTAATTGCTTACGCATATCTTGGGCCCTGTTACAGCCTCATCACATGCCCTGCCCTCATCTTGACTGTGTGTTCCCCATAACGAATCTTTCGCTGATAATGAGGATACCTGTAATTCTATAGGTCGTCTCAAACATTTGACACAATTAAACATGGGCTCAGTAATTTGTAAAAGTTAAATGTCATACTGGCTGGTGAGGTTCGTCTGTCATCGAGTGACCCTTACTTCAGTTAAGACAGGGATTTAAAAGAACTGTATCCATTAGACTGTTTAAGAAACACCTAACCTTTCATCACTGAATACTTTCTTAGAACACAGAAGAGCTTCTTCCAGCAAACAAAAATAAACTTACTACATGTACAGCACATATCTGCATGAGAAAGAAAACATTAGCCAGAACATTCTTCTATATGCTTTACTGGTTTCTTGTTTGTGTGCATTAAAGTATTTAATTGCACAGTGCACCAAGCTGTATAAATTTAGATTAGACAGCTGTTCAGCTTTTTCTGTAGTAGCATTAGCAATTTGGTCATTTAACTACTTTAAGATACTTACATTTTATGGCAGGTAGCTGAAACAGCGTTTACATATATTAAAAACGTTACCATTTTTTTAACTTTCAAAAAGCCACTTGTTTTTAACGGTCTCTCAAAGCCTTGTTTTGTCTTCCATGTGATGAGGACAGAGGGAGGTCCGTTCAGGGTCTGTGCACGGAACCTTCACCTGTCATCGAGCGGCCATACTTGCTTTGCGTTTTTATCCAGAGGCCGACAGTCTTGGAAAGGGTATAATGTATATTTTCTTGATGGATACATTTAAAATATCAATTTAATTTGGCATATTCTTTCACCTTCTGTAATAGGTTCTTCTCCAAATGAGTGAGATATGCATCTTTCTTTTTTTTTTAAAGCCTTAGAATTTATTGTGTAAATGATACTAAAATCCAGATATATACTAAATAAAAAGTTTTATTTTTGTCAAGCACATCAAGCACCTTTGGAAAATACATATTCCACAAATACTTTTTTATTAATTTCATTTAAAATTGAAAATTATTATAAGCGAGAAAAAGGAGTCATAATATTTTGAGGCAGTTTGAACTGGCAGTATAAACCACCTACTAGAATTCTGTACCTTTCAGTCAGCAGACTTGTAACAACGTAGACTCATATGATAATGTGCAAATGTAGTCCTGAAAAGAAGAGGAATGCAGTTTGTCTGTTCTGATGTTAATTCTCAAGGGTATAACATGACTCCAGTATTATAATCAACAGTGGCATCTTGTTTACTCCAGTATTTAAAGCAACACTTAGAAATGTTTATAAATGACTGATGAGTCTCTCTTATCTTTATATAGTTCTTTCGGAAAGAAGATTGAAATTGTTAACAATTTAGACTAACTATCTTTCCTAATAAGAGAGTATTAATCTTGTGACTATACAAGTCATTGCATTTCATCCTTTGAAGTGAATTTTTAAAATGTGAAATGAATTCTGAGAAAATTATGTGTCCCTTTAAATAAGTTGTTATTTACTCAAATTATTATTGTTGTTTGCAAAATGTATTTTTGGAATGTTAACCTCTTTTCATACCTGCATACTTGAACTTGTCTTTTGTGTGGGGGCCTTAAAATTTCTAATAGAAAGTGGGATAGTGAAAGTAAGTGAGGGAAGGAAATCATGGCAAAAGATGATTTACTAATGCAGAGTCTTTAAATGAACATATCACAAATATTGTTGAGACCCAGGATGTAAGTGAAAAATGTTTCTAGGCAACCTTAATTTGCATGCTAATGTATTTTCTTGGTTATACAATTTTACTTGCTATTTGTTAAAAAAGCAAACCAACATAGTATCACTGAAGAAATTGCCCTATGTGGATATTTATACTACCTCTTCTCTGGAGAAGACAGTCTGTCTTTAAAGGGAAAAACACTTGTCAAGAACTAGTGATCAAATTTCTTACTATTACTGCTAACCTTGCTGCAAAGCTAAGTGTGTAGCGTGTTGAGATAGCTTTCCCTTCAGATTTCAACCTGTTTTCAAAATGGTCTTGTCACTCTTTCTTCTATGTGAGTCAAGTTTTCTTGAATTGGTTCACATTTATGCTGAAGCATGGTTGATTTAATAAGTAAGTCTTCATAGGGAACAAAACAAACTGCAGAGGAATTTATCTGTTACACACCTGTTATAATGTCGTGCTCTAAGTCTACAAGAGAAAGGTCCAGAGACTTGTTTAATACAGTTGGTTTGCAAATTCAAATATTGTTGATCCTTGACTTCTGTAGATACCAAGGGCACAGCTGAGCTACTTCTTGGTTAAGGGTGTGTGTTAGCTTGGACTCCTATGTAACTGGAACAGACTTCGTATCAATACTTTGAATAAATATTTAACGTAACTCTTATTCCTTTTACATCTCTGCCTTTGTCTTTCATGACAATGTTGCATGTTGGTTTTTTTAATTTTATGAAATTCATCCATGAATGAATGCAAACTTTATAGGAAATTATGTAATGAATCTGTTTCATTAGTTCCCTATTATCTTTAAATACTGTCAAGTACTATAACTAAGTTACTTATTTGAGCTGTGTCTATACTGCAGAAAAGTCCTTTTTAAAATGATGATCATGATCAAATCAGTCAATACAGGAGCTACTAAACAATGAGAGTGACTTTTTTCTTGTCGAATTAAGCAATCAAGTTAGTCAAAACAGTAAAATTGGTTTACATGGACAGACAGAACTTCAGCATTCAAAAATTATTTTTTAAAGTTTCCTTCTTTAGTTTAATGGGTCCTTCTTCAATGAAATACATCCTCTGATAGCAACCATTTCTGTCTAGTTGTGGATGATTTAATCCCAAATGCTGTAAGTGACTGAGGTATATTATGAGAAGATTAGAAAGTATCTCACTAGGTAATCTTAATTAAGGGCTGTAACTTCCACTTGCCATGAAAAACATACAAATAAGAATGAATAGCACTGACTTTTGGGAAGTCAGTTTAATGTGAAACTTTCTTTTGTTTCCTTTGATAGATGTAAAAAGAATGTTTGCAGAAAGATGGTACAATACATATGTCATGCATGAATTTAAAGAGATTTGAGGAAGGCACTGATGCTTCCTCATTTGAAAATTTTGAGGAGTGAAAGAGAGAACTATCTAAGAATGCAAAGTGGCTGGCCTCTATCTTTTCAATATTTTGTAAGTGTTCTTGGTTATGTGTTGAACACTTAAATTTCTCAACAAATGGCTATGTTTCCTATACGTAGGGGCCTCTCTTGCCCTACCTGCATGCCACTTTCACACACTTTTAACTGAAATCAGTGTGAATTCTGTATGCATAACGGATGTATTAAAGATGTGGGATCATTAATGCTATATTGTTGCATACTATTTTTCATATGCCTTACGATATTTTCTGGGACGTTATTAATGAAAGCATTTTATTGCCAAAATAAATCTATGTTGTTACTTCTGCATTAGCAGTAGAAAAATAATGTAGCAAAAATAGATATTGTACAGTACAAAATTATAAAACATATATATATTTTGCCAATAATATGAATAGATTGAGGAGAAAGAAGCACATTTGTTATAGCACAAACTTACAACAAAACCCACTGTTAAATTTGGCAGTCCTGTTTTTTTAAAAGTATATAGATTTAGTTCTACTTATTTCATCTACCATCTTTTTAACTTGCTGCTTGATATTTTTCCAGCAATTTGTTTCATAGCCTTGCAATCTGTGGATGTAATTCCTCTTATTTTGCTCTGTCCATAAAACTTACTAGATTTTATTTTGTGATAAGACTCACACTGTATTTTCTGTTCCCAGTTCTTCTCCTTCCACAACAACTAGAAAATGTCACCGCAGATGCGCTCAGAGGGCTCTTCTGAATTTTATATTTTTCACAGCCTCAAGTTAGAATGATCAGTAAAGATGTCCCATTGAAAAAATATTAGTTAAGGATTCTTTAATTTGTTTTGTATGGAACACTATTTTGAAACGTTAAGTAAAAGTCATTAGCTTTGCTTTTGAAGGGTTGGTGGGAGCGAGTAAAAATAAAGTTAATATAAAACATACTAAAAATAAATATGACAAAAATGATGTGAAAAGATTTCCCTACCATTCTGAGGGCTGTTGATATCCCAGACCATTGCTGTATCTACAGTGATAACATGAAAAAACAATGCCTTTGTCAAATAAATTTTTCTTTCTTTAAATTTTGTTTATTTTGATAATTTATCCCCCTTTTATTTTTTATATGGTATGTGTATCATTCTACAAGGCATGCTGGGTAAAATATACTATGCAAATGTGTACAGTGCTGCATGTTTTGTTCTCCCTCTGCTTCAGTGGCTTTAAAGAAGAAAACGTGGTGTTATTTTTGTGAACAAAGACATTTAACAAAGAAAATGCAGAGTGCATGCACACAGTATCCTCATTTCTATGGATTTGTTTTATGGAATTTAAATGTATACAAAACAACTGCATTAATTTCTTCTTTTATATAATAAATGAAAAACACTGAAACCAGCGTTATACCTCTCCTTTATATTATTCCACAGATACATTGAAGAAATACTAGAAATCATGAAGTATATTTGTAAAAAAATTAAAACACTCTAAAAACAAAACAAATGGATTCAATTAATTGACTATTTCCTGAATACCCCACTAGGTGTTACGAGTGACCACAAACAAAATACAGTATAAGAAAGAACTTTAAATTACACACATGGACACACACAAAAATGAAGTGGAATATATTAGAATAAATGTGAAGTAGGATTGAGTAGATGAACCTTATTGCTCACAAGACACCCCTAAATGGTTAATGTAGTTGTAATCAGAGGTTTGCAAAGCTATTCAGTACCTGTAAGGATTCCATGGATGATATGTAGATTAGAATGACATCACACGTACTCAGGATTAGTTGCCTACACTATGACCTGATTGGAATTTGACTTCTCTCTCGTTGCACTGTGTAAGAAGCTCAAAAGAAATGTACACTGATTATTATCACTGCATTACAATTACACAGTGATTCATTAGAGCCAAGTTATTTCATAATTAACCCATCTGACCACCCTGGAAATTAGGTAGGGCGTGAATTATTAGTTGATTGCAGATGAAGAAACTGAACCTCATTTTAACACCTTTCTCTGAAGTATGTATTTTTGCTTTAAAATACATATATTAACAATGCCTGGAATGCAACATATATTGCCTGAATGAACAGCATCTTGTTATCAAAGCATTTCAGCTAACAATCTGAAATTCCCAGCGGAAAGAATTACAGTTGTTGAGTAAGTACATCAAAGGAACACACCGCAAAGCCACCTCTCATCAGCAGCACATTTCCACTTGGAAGATGGACTATGGAAACACCTGTCCTTTCATACGGCATGCAGACTCATCACCACAGTGGTTGGAGTGTGGACTCACTTGCCTGAGCTGAAAGCCTAAATCCAGCAATAACCAGTGACGAGCATGGGCACTCGCCTGATGTTCTTGTGCCTGGATCTGTTTCTGTAGAGTGGTTTTTCTTTTGATCCGGTCACGTTTTCCTGCCTCCTTGCATGTCCAGCAAGTTTCTACTGGATTTACGACATTTTAAACCTTACATTGTTGATGACTTGACCTTGTGTTCCCTTCTAGAGTGTTGGACTTGTTTCCACGGGCAGCTGTGGATTAGTTTGGTCCTTTCAAGGTTTGTTTTCAGGTTTGTATGGAAGTGGTATAAATCAGGCCTTATCCTAGGCTCATCTAGCACCTCTTCTAAAGTCTCTGGGTGTCTACTGAATACATGCTTTCTGGCTGAAAGGAACTCAAGTGATTCCTGAATCATTCGTTTCACCCCTTCCCGCTACATGGTTTTTCCTCCGAAATTGCTATGGCCAGCCTTCCGGGGTCTTACACCGCACAGCGACTGGTCAGTATGTACTGAAGACGTGGTGGCTTCCTGTGCTGGTTTTTGGAGTTCTGTCTGTGCAGCTTTCTTCTTCCAGTTACTCTGCCTGGCACACTCCAGCGACCCTGATCTCGGAACACCGAGTACTGTCTTCACTCTGAGCTTGCCCTCTTGTCTGGGCCTGCTCGTGTATGTTCGGCTGGGAAGTGCTTCCAGGCAGAAAGTCCAGACGTTAGTAAAACTTACCATCTGTTTCTCTCTTCTTAGGGATCAAAGTCCTATTTTCTAATATTTGAAAACAAATTGTGCCTGTATTGTGTCCACTGTTTTGTTAATAAAAGGGTAAACCAGACCATCCAAAGACATTGTGCACATCACTATAATCACTGATAAATTCGTCTTTAGACGGTCTCAGAGGAAGTGCGTTCACACATACCTTCGCACCACTCGCCAGCTTCCCAGTTACGTCCTTAGTAGTTCCAAATTGGCATTTCACCCCAGATCACAGTCAACCAATACTGTTTTGGGTAAATTCCCTTTCTTTTTCTTCAGAGGCACTTGGTAAATACTCCGGGAGGCCATCTCCTTAACACAGTTGTAAAACATAAAGCCCTGGCTTCGCAATTTAGTATAGCCTGACTTGCACTTAACAAGTCAACAGAGATGTGTGGGCGTTTACAAAGTGTCTCCGAGGCGCCAAAGCGTCACCTGCAATGTGCAAGAGTGGAAATATAAGTTAATGCAAGTTGATTACGCTAACAATATTGCTTTTCTAAACAGCCTATAAAAGCTTGATTAAGTAAATCCAGGCATAATCCACAAATTCCATAGTGCGCGCTGCTATACAGGATTTTCTCTCCCTTCGTGACCTGGAAGTGGAGGGACACGGGAGAGGCCGTCCCGGGCGCCGCCGAGACAGCGTTAGGACGGCTGCCGGCTCCGGCCAGACTGCGGCCCCGGGGAGGGCAGCAGGGCTGGCGAGGACGACCCTGGACACCCGGTGGTGGGGTCCGGACGGACCCGGGGCGGTGCGAACGCGTGCAGGGGCGGAGACGGCACTGCTGCGTGTCTGCGGTACGGCTTTATCGAGGATGTCGAGGGAGAACAGAACGGCCGTTCCGAGCCGCCGCCGGCGCAGCGGCTCCCATCCCAGGCACAGCCCCGCCGCCTGCGGCCCGCCTCCGTATGCAAATCGGCGCCGCCGGGCCCCGCC